GGTAATGCCTTTTTCCTTCATAAGGGACAACAATGGGTAAGGAAGCTAGTTATGTATATTTGCACGACGGTCACAACGTACAAACCCAGAATTGCTGTTGGTCGGGAATAAAAAAAAACAAATTCCAAAACGACAACTACCTGGTATTTATTAATAAGCCAGTGTTTGAAGATGTAAGGCGAATATTAAAACGATGAGAAAACAAGATAGACAATAAAACCGAAAACATGACTATCTAACAGTGGGTTGGCGCTTGTCCGGTGGCGCACGCGTCAGACCTAATAATCTTAAATACACTAGTACACTTAGGCCTTTGGTTTGGCTGCGGCAGGCTGCGTCGGAATGTAGCCGAAATTCTGCTTCAGCTGTTCCAGGAAGATGAATGTGAGGACGGTGTGCGGTCCAAGTCGGATGAAAGCTGGGACGAGGCCCTTGAAGAAGCCGAGGGGGCCAGTTCGCATCACATCAATACCGCATGCGGCGATGCCCTAACAGAGGATGTTATACCAGTCAGCACATTATTTTAAACTACTAGGGAGAAAGCATTTGCGCGATGCTTACGGAAAAATAAAACAGCAGTGATCTTGGATCCGTAATGTTCAAGCCTAGAAACCGGATCACAATGAAAACTCGCATACCGTAGGACACTCGAACATTTTATTCTTACCAACCAGTTAGTCACAAAGCGCGGCAAGTTGGTCGAAGCGAAATCGCATTTAATTTCTTTGAAATATGGAGGATAGGCTCTTCCTCGCTCATTTGCATCGTAGCAGATCTGTGGTAAACACCGGCCAGTGGGTGTGAGGACAGCACAGAAAGTTAGTCGCACGTGATGTTGTTATTTGGTGAATAAAAACGCTTTGGGATTACAACAGGGAGTTACTGACTGACTTAAACCCGCGCTAACCTTGGTTTGGCTAAAATTGATCGGATCAGGGCGTTTAAACGGGAAGTTTCTACAACCCGTGCAGGAGGTAGAATCTACTTTAGTCGAGTGCGGTGATTCCAGAGCTATCAACATTGTACACCACAAATCAGCCGCAATGAGACGCCAGCTAAATATCTAAATAGAAGTTAAGATAGTTGAAGTCTGCACCAACCGCCTAGCCTAGGTAGTTCTGAAGTTTAAACCTGGTTATAAAGAGGTAACGTCAAGCAAACAGACGACTGGTTCTTCATGAGACGCATTAATTCTACTATTTCTAGAAAAATAACTCTTAGCAAATTGCATCCGACTGCTCGTGAGAAAGTCGAATGTTCTTTCGTAAACGGACGTTAGTATGTTTATCCTTAGTATGCTCTGTAGCTTTTGGACCCAAACGTGTCAAAACATGGGAAACAATGATGAGGACCAGTTCCGGGCCATAAAAGACGTACCGAGTATTTGCCTGGAGGGGCATTCATGAGGCGCGTCTTCATAACATCGAAGGGTTGTGTCATGCAGGTAGCAATGCCAGCGGCGCCAATGCTGGCAGTGAAGTGTGTGATCGGGTTGTCGTGGAAGTAACCGGTGGCAAGCAGCATTTGTTTGAAAGTGTCGTAAAATGCCAGTTGCCCGAATGTCATGAACGTAGCTCGAGTGGCTGTCATAGAAACACCGTTGAAGAGAGAACTGACACCCTCTTTGCGGCAGACTTGAATCAAGCCATCGATCGCATGTTTGTAGCTAAAATAGGAATTAAATTCTGTCGGATTGGCTAACATACACGTGAACAAGATTGGATGCAAATAAAAAGTGGAATGCATCACTCCTCACCTGCTCTTACTTTCGAGCTCGGTATTTCCGAAAGCAGTTTAGTTAGTTGTAGACACCGAAAAACTAGACGTGACCTTAACAGCAGACGTTGCGGGATGCAACTCACTAAAAGAATTCTACAACGACGTCCAATTGCCTGGTATCGGATAATGGAAATGCAATGTATGAAAGCTTGGCTTGTGGCTAAGTATCGAGTCGATGGTATAATAAGTAAAGTTTCCAGTACAATAGCTGCTGATAATGATATTGACGCAACATTGCTAAACGAACGGCCTGATAGTCATATATAAAGACGATGACCGAAAATTGCAAGAAAACTGTATCCCATAAGTGGGGCTTTGGGTCTTTATTAAGAAACATCAAGGCAGGTTGAGTCAAAATTGAGCATGTCTGATCCCTTTGAAGGATACAAGGTGCTGCGCTGGACAGAACTCTGCGTGATATCACAGAAAAGACCGCTCCGTTTGGTG